CTGTAATCCAAATAAATAAAGCTATGAACGCAAGATATAAATCAGCTATGTCATTAAAATGTTATTTTTCCTTTCACGGTCATGACTATCACTAGAGTTTGCAATTTAAAATTTAAAGAATTAATGTAATGAATGTAAGAATTGAAGCACTTCCTAAACCTCACTTTATATATTGGACGTATACTGTGAATATATTTGGCAATTTGAGGCATAATGATGCACCACAAATCAGTTGTGCGGTGACCAGAAATATAGCAGGTACTTCAATAAGTAATTAAAATATTTTTCCCCAAAATCCTTACAATTCAAGGATTCAATCCTAAAAACCTGATTGGAAAACCTCTGATTGGAAGATCAGAGTTGAAACAGATGCAACAAATTACATATCCACAAAATATTACTGTCAGTAATTAATGTATTCCTCCCAGATTTAAGATTATTTTGCTATTGCCTCCTTCTTCCCTGCATTATCCCAAATGCCCCACTCTACCTGTTCTGTTATGAATACTGTACATACTTTCTATTCATCAGGCAAGTGAAATAAATTTTAAGGACACATGCTCTAATGTTTTACTGCTGATTTTAGTATAAGCAGGAGCAAGACAAATAAGTTTATAAGGCAAATTTGAATCATTTAGCCTTCAATTAAATCCCTTTCTGATTAAATATGAAACAAAAAAAAAGGGTTGGGATTAACTCTTGATGGGTAGATACCTTTATTAAATGAGCATAATGCGAGATGTCATGGATTTATTTTTAAGCTCTTTAATCAACACTTTGCCTAATATTCTTCCAATCACAATGTTTTGATATTTTCAACATTTCTGTGATCATCATACTCTATATATTTCTTTCCTCTGAGGAATAAAACATTTAAATTGCAAAGTAAAAATCATATCTCTGATTAGGTACATCATCAGGGAGGAAATTCTGAAAGTTAGGGCAACAAATAAAGACATACGGTTAAATCTGTCTGGAATACTTTAGATCAAGGGAGTGAAAAACAACCTACATTATGAATTTCATAGAAATGAAAAAGAATGAGGGAATGACCATGTTAGACAACATTGCAAACTTCTGATGTTTCTTGTTACTGCATAAGCCTAATCTGTAAATCTATTCCTAACCTGTAGCTGTGTTGATGTTACTAGTTTTGACTGCTTCCACTGAAATATTATACTTTGATTTTTCAGCTATAAGGATAAACTATGAAATACCAATCCTCTCAAGCCTAAAGATAAGGCATTATTTAAAGGTAGTATTATTTTACCAAAGTGTTCTGCAACTATTCATAATATTTTACTCAAAAGCAGAAGTCAGATCTATTTCATTTGTAAGCACCGTATCACATAACACTTCTCCAAATGCTAAGGCTTCTCTGATCATTCTCCAAATAGACCTGTCTTCTTCCTAGTTTATTACAGGAGAAAGTAATTTTCTAGCTGTGCAACTCCATAGAAGTAGTAGTAAAACTGCCTCCCACTGAGTTTTTGCAAAGCTAGGTGTGCATTTTCTTGCTTCTCATATTTTTGTTGCATCTACTCACAACAACAACAAAGTAAGAATTAGATCAGAAAAAGAGTTTGTCCAAAGATAAGTGTTACTTCTCTTGGAGAAGAGCGGCAATTCTCCCTCCAGATTGTCCTTCTAGCAAACGTGCTTAGATCACCTGCCAATGTTACCATCACAGAAGCGGACACCCTTCTTTCTACTAAAATCAGCGAGAGTCTTGTAAACAACAGCAACTTGGCTTTATGTCAGGCTTCTTTCTCATTTAAAGTTTTCCAGAATAGCAATAGTTCCCTGATAAAAGCATTTGCAACTGAGGGAAAAAGTTTCATTCTTGTATTGTATAAATGTGAATAGACAAGGGCAGACCAGGCTGTTTTCTCTTACATAAGCACAATCTCAAAATCAAAGAGATGTTGCTGAGAGAAGTCTGGTCTCATACATTCATGAAAGACATCAAGTCCTTATTATAGGATAGTATGGGTCAGTTAAAATATGATCTATAACTATCCACAAACTGCTCAGTGAACCTTGCAGAGATCCACATTTGAATGGCCTACAGACCACATGTGTTTCCAGATCCTCATGGGAACGGGGGAAAAACTCCTTGTCTCATCCCCATCCTAATGCAACCAAAAACATCTGCAGAAAGATGTGCATGTGAGGAGGGGTACCAGGTGCAGGTTTGAGGCAGTCAGGAAAGAATGAACACGCTGTGCAGTGTTGCATTAGGGACGTGATGAAGGGTATGACGAGGGAGCCAGGAGAAATTCTGAGAATATTGAGAGGATGGTAAAATGGGGGGAACAGATGAGAGCAAACAGCATGGGTAATAAAATAAAAATAATAAAAATAATGAAACCTCATGAAAAAAATAAAAGTGAACAAAAGGGAAAGAAGAGTCTGGAGAAAGTCAAGGAGAAAGGACTCTGGAGAGTCAAGGAAAATTGGAAACAGTTGGGTAGAAAAAGAAGTGAGAAAAAATAAGTGTCATAGGGAAGTATGTTCATTTAATAGTACAGGAGGGGAAGAAAAAACAATATGGAAAGAAGGAAGAAGTAAGGAAAAAGTTTTTTTTTCTTTAAAAAAAGGGAACAATAGAAAACATAAGCAAGACAGGGAAAGAATAAAAAACTGACTGACATCAAACAGAAAGGAGGAGAACGCACACAAATGCAGATGCACACAAAGGTTTTTCACAAGGTTGCAATGGCTGGTACTTTGAATGCAAACCAACGCTCCTGAAGATCGAAGACTCTCTCCAGAGTGGCAGCTGACCTTTAATTCAAAGAAGCACAAAAAAAATTCCTGCAATTTCTTTTTTTGATTTTTTTTTTTCTTTTTAAAGGAGAAAGTTTGTAATTATCTTGAAATTAAATCCCATAAATGTTTACAAAGGAGGTACAAATTTTGTGACTTGGTGCTGGAATAGAAGCTAAGAGAAGAATCATGCCTTAATTCAGGTAAAAGCACTGTCTGAAAAATAGGTTTTCCCTTAAGGGAAATTTTGACTACGCTATTTTTCAATTCAAGTTGAAAAAAAAAAATGTTTTGAAGTTTTAAAGTGGAAAAATAAGAACAATGTTTTCAAAAGAAAGGAAACTGTTGATACCATAGATTTCCCCTGCAGATATCAGCACAAAGTTTTAATTGAAATTCTTTCATTTTGAAATGTTTGGTTGCTTTTAAAATTTTTCATGTAATAATTGATAATTGTCAATTTTAAAAACTGGGAATGTTTCAACTCATTGGTTCTACTGCTATGTCATTTTATACTCATCACCCAACAAAACTGAAGATAAGTAGAGAAGGATGAATGAAAACATCAATACACTGTGTTAATGTCAGCCTATATTCCTCCCACTGTCCTAGGTTACTTCTCACCTTCACCACACTGCACATTTGATCATTCTCTTTGCCTCAAGCATCGCTCCTCGAGCATCTCAAACATGTTCAGTAACACAGAAGACATCTTTCACCCATGTTTCTGGTCGCTGGACATGTTTTTTCCTTTGTACAGATACTGTTGGAGGGTAGTGCCTAAGTGTTCCAGGACAAGCTAACATTCTGGATGCTTTTTGAAAAAGAGAAGGTTGTGCACTGTTTCCTTCAACAGGAACAAAGCAATCCCCAAATGTTCTGTGATATCATTTTACTGACAGAGTAACAAACGTGATGGCTTCTGAAGACCTTTTGCTACGTTTTGTCTGTAAAAACAGATAAGCAACATCCAATCTGGACTAAGTTGCCTAAACTGATGTCATAAAATCTGTGTAGAGTTATCTACACACATTTCAAACCCAAAATGGAGAAACTAACTTTGAATTAGATAATGAAGGGATTGCAAGCAAAACAGCCTACACATGTGAGACTGCCACACATGTCCAATTTCCATGGTACAAATAATGGCATCATACGCAAGCTTGAACAAATAACTAGTTAACTGCCAGCTGGCCAGCTTCTTAAAAGGTTCTACCGGCTTCCAAAGCACTGTGGCTTGGCCAGAATTAGCTGGTTTCCCATTAAAAAAAAAAAAAAACTTAGGGACAAAAAATACAATGATGAGCTATTACTGCCATACTAAAGCAACACATCTTAGTAAAAAGCTATTAATTAGCTTTAAGTTAAAGTCATGTTATAAATGTGAGGCATAGCTGCCTCTTATTCCTTTATGATGAGTACTAAATCCATAGTTATTACTCTGATTGCACTTAGAGATTTTAGTTTGACAATATCAGAGCAAAACATGTTTCGTCAACTGCTCTTCCAAAAGAGACATCTTGGATACAGAAGGTTTTCATTGACTTAAAGTCTTTCCATTTGAAAAAAAAAAAAAAAAAGTGAAAAACCCCCTTGCCCCACCCCCGTGGGGTTTAATCTAAACGCTGGAAGTCTACATCAGCGCCGTAAGTTTGCTTCAATTAATGATACCCCGTATTTATTCTTGGTGATATTGTATGTTTATGCAAGTCTTCTGTGAAAAGCTGAGTTTTGGTCAAATTTTATTCTCCGGTTCTAATTACCCTAATGTAAACCTGGAATTTTTGCATTGTGACTTTACAACTACTGTTGATGGCTTTATTTTCAAAATAACGTGACCTTGAATCAGGAAAGTATACTATAGTCACTTTTAAGTGTTTAAATATTCTAACTCACTTTATTTTAAATTGTGTTGGCAATCTGTTAAAGTATATGTTTATGGGCTTTTTGTACCCTCAGCATTTTACCTTCCATATTTGTGTCATATATTTAGTTTTATTTTATTTTTTAAATGGCACAACCCTGACCTCTTTGTTGTTATGGTTCACTCTGGGGCAGGAAAACTGGAACTGTAACACTGGGGAAATGTGAAATCTCCAGAAACCGAGGATTTTTTTTTTTTTAAATAAACTAGCCTATAATGGAATAGGCATCCAATACTGCTAGTAACAGTAGTTTCTTAGAAAATCAGCCACAACACATCTAAGAGAATAATACAAGTGCAGTATTTTAAACCAAGCAAATACATGGCTGCAGTCAGCAAAGTGTTCTTTTAAACTCGTGATTTTTGCAAATTTTTCCAACACATGGGGTGTGCAGAGTTGTTCCAGCAATTCCCATCTCCCCATGCTTTTTACAAATGTTTATAAACCTGCAACCTCAGCTCATGTTATCTCAGTGCGTTCTTTCTCACCTAAACTACTATGTTCTAGGAGACATACCGAGAAAAAAAGAAAAGAAAAAAACAGCCAAAGGAGGTATTTTTCCTATTCAGGAATAATCCTTGCTGTGTTATGAGATCCAGAGGGAACAGTGAACAACTGCCTTCACAAACGGCTTGTTAATCACACAGAGACAAAAGGAGACACGACTTTATTTCATATATCAGCCCCCCACCACCACCACCCCATTCGACATACAAAAACCTATTGACACTTTGTCACTTATTCTAAACCAAGACTCGGTGCCCTAGGCTGCAGCTTTGTCAGAGGCTAAATATCTTCATGATTAATTATTTCCATCTATCCCATTGCACAGAACTCAACCAAGTAGGTGTAAAAAACAAAAAACACCTTGTGGCACACGTGAAGCACACATGGCTGTAAAATAGCCTGCATAAAGTATTAATATACCATTACAATGTACAATTGTGGTGTATGGAAAGCAAAATTATAGCTTTGAAATTAAAGAGGGACATTTGATACATTTCAAATAATTGTGTCCCACTTCTGGTAAACTCATCTGTTTTTTGCACATGCAATTATTTTAAACTTTAAAACACACATGCACACACAGACAACAAAAAACACCTTTCCTCCACTATGTTGCTCCTTTTTGTTGCTCCAGCTATAATTATCTCATTGCAGCAGAGTTTAAGACACCGCTATTATCACATTCAGGCAACTGCTGCAGATCTGCTCACACACATACCCAGCATCTGCAATGATCCCTCCAGGGAATGCGGCTGCCCGAGACCGACCCTGGCAGGAACGGGCCCTGAATAAGGTCTGATGAGCATGATTTCTACCAGCAGGTCTTTTCAGTTGTTCCCATTACATAACTGTTTCTACCTGAGTGACAGAAAATAACACCTAGCTGCCTTTTCTCTGCTGCCATCAGCTGAAAATGCCTCAGCCAGAAGAGTGCTGCAACAGGACTGTCCCCCTGGTTTTCAAATGGGAAGAAAAAGGAGGAGCTGAGGGTCAACTTTCCAACAGATTTTTTTCAGAGCAACAGTTAAACAGAGAAGGGTGTTCAAAAAAAAAAAAAAGGGACTGAGAAGAAGCAGAAATCCAAGTAGAAAAGAATAGCCTGTCCATTGTGGTTATAATTTTGTCAGCTAATACATGGAAAACACTTTTTCACCGCTTTGGGAGGAGGTGATATTTAAAAGCAGGCTGCTCAGCAGTGAAAGGGGGACTAAAAGCAACTCCAAAAGCTTTGCCTATATTCTCTGCAGATCAGCAGAACAAGGGAGAACAGCTGCTTTAAATTTCATTTGAGCCTGATAAATAGAATAACAGCTTGCTAATTTGGTAGGACCAAAATATTTAACCTCTTCTGCAGGGCATTTGACTTCCACTGTGTTGCTTGGATGTAAAAGGTTGCGTTTTACTGCTACATTGCACCAGAGATATTTGTCTTCCTTTACATTCTTACCAGTCGTGCAAATTTATCTTCATGGTGTGGGAAGCAGCGAAGTTCTTAAACTGTCTTTGATATTTTACTTTTTTGCTCTTTTGCAGCTATTTTCTCCCATTCTGTGTTTGGCTTCAAACTCTTCCTTTTCAGCAAACTTCCTTTTCAGCATCGTCGGCGGTTTAGAGTGCCTTGATTCTGTTTGATCTCTCTGTATTTTGAGTTTTGTTGCAAATTGTGCTTTAGTTTAGTCGACATATATCTAAGTTTTTTCTTAAACTCTTTATTTTAAATGTTATATTATCTCTATGCACTACTGTATTATGATTTTAATGTTAAGTACATTTCAGAGGCTGTATTTCTCCACTGCTTGAAGAAGTTGGCTAGAGTTTTAATTTTTGTCCTTCAAGTGAAACAAATAAACTTACTGTATAACACTAAAACCTTTATTTTCCTGAAGCTTTTATAATTTCTGAATGATTTTAAGGCTTTAGATTTTATTTTGGGGGCAGTAATGCTTTTTTCTTCAAACTTTGGACTGTAATTCTTTTTCTAATTTGCTCTGTAAGTTCTCTCTATAGCATGTAGTATTCATAATTAGTGTTCCGCCATTAGTATTAATAGTATTCATATATTTTAATACCTTTTATATAGGAAATATATTTTGTTCATAATATTATGATATAATTTATGCAAATTAAAGTAGTTGTTGCTTGCATGTAGACACTATTTATGATTGCCATTTGCAATACCGGTGTTTTTCTTCTCAATTTGATTCTGTTGATTTTTAGTGACTTCAGTTTAAGAAATATAATGAAATGTACAGATATTTCCCTGACGAGATGCATTCATTACTGCTGTCCTGATATTTTTGTTTGTTTGTTTTGCTTCCTCCTCTCCCCTTCCTTTCTCCTTGTATATTAAACAGCTATTTTTTCTTTTGATTTTTAGCCATACGATGAAAGTAATAGCTTATCACAGCTTCAAAAGTGAATTTGTTGCTTCTCTGATATTTTCATAGTTTCTGGACCATCTTAATATCAGAAAGACTTCTGACTGAGACAGGAGGAGTTCTTTAAAGACAGTATTTGACTGTAGAATCTGACTTTTTTTTTTTTTAATAGTTGCATGCATTTTATTTGGATAGTTTGAAGTCTCCTCATAACGTCTTGGGCAGTTGTTTTCACTGTTTGTCTCAAAAGCTCTTTGGAGGCTACATGTTGGGTTTTTTTTTGTTTTTTGTTTTTTTTTTGGTTCTGTTGTGTTTCGTTTTTTTTGTTTGTTTGTTTTGTTTTACAAATAACGTGCATTTTTGTTGGGTTCCCAGATATTAAGGCTACACTTCCCTATGCATCTCCCACTCTATGGGAATTGTTCTTCTGTATTGAAACAGGCTCAGAAAGCTTTAGTGAGTATTCCAGCTCAAACATGAAAACAGAAAAGCAATCATGGCTAGGAAAGATAACCAGAAGGAAAAAAAAAAAAAAAAAAAGATGCAGTTCTCATTTTTTGCAAGAAAAAAACTATTCATTTTGAAAAATGGAAAAAAAAGCCAACTTCAGTATAGGTTTTTCTTGTTAGTATTTCCTTTGATCCATTATGCATGACAAAAATCTAGATACTCAAACTCATGCAGACATACATGCATAATTAGTTCTCTGTACTTTTCAGGGTAAAAATCTACTAAAAGTTTTGTTGAGATAATTAACAGCATGTTAATTAAGCGTATATATGTGCTTGTGTTGTATATATACTGCATAGGAAATTTATTTCATTGTGTTGTTTTTTTTTTTTAGAAGTTTTTAATTTGCTGTTTTTAAGAAATGTTAATGGAAAAAGCCACTGACTTATTGAATAGCTGTCGCAAATTATTTTTCAAATCACACTTTCTTTTTCGATATTTTTTGACTGTGGGTTAATTCATACTAAATAAAAGAGACCTAAGGAAGCAGAAGGCAGGATGGAGCAGTGCCCTGCTCCAGCAGGGCTAACTACACCTTTTCACTCATTTATCTGTATTTTTAACAATTCATGGCAAAAAAGCATCTCAGAAAAACAAAAAAGTCACTCATCTACAAATACTAAGGAAACCATTATATTAATAACAACATTTAATTAAGCATTTCGTATCTATTTAACATGATCATTTTCACCATTTAGCAAAATATTAAGCAAGGTTTCATCCCATCAATAGAAGTATTCAGTTTAAGATGTGTGAAAGTACTCATATAAACATGTAGCTTTTTTTTTTTTGCCTGTAAAGCATACTTTTTAGTGGATTTTGCCACACGTCCACCACTGATGTATTTCCTGCACCAGTGTAAAGCAACCCTGCCACACGGAGCTGAGCTCAGAGCAGGCTGCAGAAGCCAGCAGCCGATGGCAGTGGGTACGTTCTTTCAGCACAGAGCCCTCACAAAGGCTGCCGCTGCCAATGAGACACGTTTATAGGTAGCAGTAATATACTTGCTTAAAAAACAAATGTTTTAAAGGTGACAAATCCTACTGAGAGGAAGCACACACAATAACCCACACTGAATCATCAGTTGTGACATTTGATAAAAATCAAATAAAGCTCTGCGCTGACCAGATCCAGCTCATGCCTGTGATCAGTTTTAAAAAGTTAGAAAGAATCCATACAGACACCTTTCAGATCCCAAACCATGCTGGATCAGAAGAGACTTATTGTCTATCTTCTTTTTGTGGCAGAGAAGCAGCTCCAGGCAGATCATCTGCAAACAATACAGTTTGCATTTGAGGGAATAGAGTATACAAACAAAGTAAAAAATTAATGTATACGCACACATGTATTATTTAGGGATTTGCCCTAAACTTTTTAATCTTTTGAGTGTTAAATTTCAAAGCTTGTTTACCTTGTTTTCTCAATGAATGTCTTCTAGGATTCAGAGGCATGCTCCTTCAGCATGCCCGACTCAAAGCCTGATGCTCAAGACAAAACCAATCTATTTTCCTGGAGTTAGAGGGGTTTCAGAGATCACAGGGTTTGGAAAAAAAAAAAAAAAAAGTAAAACACCACACTTTGAAATAAATAACAGGGGATATATGTTGAGCCAGTAGGAAAACCAAGCCAGTAGGAAAACCAAGCATGGCAGTGCAATAACAGCAAACACAGCACTTTTGTCTCCAAGATTACCAGCGAGAAGTGTACCCCTTGCATGCCCGAGCTGAAGTGAATATTCCTACTCCTGGCACAGATTCAGACACTTGTAAAATGACAAATAAAAGTGAAGGTCTCACTAGTAGTTACTGCATAACAGACAATGATGCAAATACCAGCAGCTTTGCTTGGAATTTTCATTTCCTAGTTCAAAGAAAAAGTATATATGTATTGTTTTAAGTCTTTGTAGTAGAAAACTCATTTCAACCTTTGAGCAGTTGTTCTAAAACATAATTATTAATGAACCAGAATAGTCAAGAGCTTGGAAATACTTTAGACCTGACTTCTATTTCTAGTGACTTCATCTCATTATATCTTTGCCATTTTGCTCGAAAAGTCTTCTGTCACTCCCTCCCCCCGTGTCCATACCAAGTATGTTCAGTGATTGAGACACTCTACAGTTTCTCTTTGATATTAAACAGATTGAGCTTCAAGAGCTCTTTTCAGACATACTTTTCCATTCCTTTGATCATTTTTGTTTTATCCAAACTCTTTCCACTCAATGAGTGTTCTTCTTGGAGTGTCTTCCAGTAATAGCCATACCAATGTCAAATAAATATTCTCTCCTATTGAAGTCAGTCCTCTCTTCTCATTCAAGTGCTACATTCGTGCTTTTGACCTCTGTGTTACACCGGGAGCTCTTTTCCACCACAACTCCCAAAACCTTTTGATTCACTGCTTTCCAGAAGAGAATCTCCCCATCCTTAAAACATAATGCTTATTTTTCCCTTAGATTCATGACTATATTTTTTTTCCCTGTTTCAAAAACGTTGTTTTTCTGTGGGTAGTTTATCAATTAATACATATTTCAGCCATTTGTCCTCATCCCCATTTACCGCTTATGGGGCACACATGGATTTCCCTTCTTCTACAAAAAAAAAGCCGTGCCTTGAAGCACTTTGTTGAGACAGTTCAGATCCCTTGTTGATCTTGTGTAGATACCAGAGATTGTTCCGTCGTCTTTCTTCCATATGGTATACTGTCTGACTCACTGATGCTAGGTTTCTCCACACACAGGCAAAGTTAGTCATAATGTTATTTTCTCACTTCTAAAAGGGTACATAACTGTAACAAATGATTTACCTTAAGTAGCAGCAAACTCCAATGGTTCCAACTGCCATTATTTGTCCAGAGTATAGCTGTGATAATATAACCTTGCTTAGATGTTGGAGGAATGTCTAGAAACCTCAATCTTCTATGCATGTACCACACAATAGAAGCTACTGCTAGCAGTAGATCTGTTATTACTCATTTTGCTTTCCATCCACTGCAAATAGGTATCATGTTACACTCTGAACACGTCTTCCATTACCTTCCCAATAGAAGCTCTCTGTCCTCTGATTTTCACGTAAATCTCAAAATTAATCAACAGAAAAAGCCAGAGAGCTATTTTATTTCATTTTTACTATTAGATATAATTTGATCATTGCTCTGATTTACCACTTTGCCATCATCACCAGGAAGATTATAATTGCCCAAATGATTTCTGAAAAGTATCCAATGTCAGCTTCTACCAGTCACAAGTTAAGTATCTCATAACTCAGATCCTTAAAAATAAAATAAATCACCACTTAGATGTCTTAGTTGTAACATAAAAGTCAATCTGTTCCAGAATATACAAAGAGAGTAAAACCAGCACACAAATCTAAAACAATACAGGTTCTCTATGGAATAGAAATAGGAAAAGTCCCGTACTAAGACCTGTAGAGACTCTGACATAGCCACACATAAGGAAGGAATAGAGGGACTTGTCAAAAAGATCATGTCTGTTAATCAAAGCAGTATGTGAACTTTTAGAAAATAATAAGTGAATGAGAATTTCATGTAGTAGTCTCTCCAGAAAGTGAAAATAGAGCAAACATAGTTTTACAGCTTCTGCCTTCCTACATTCTTCAAAGACATGTACTTTCCCCATTTTCCACCTTCTGAAGACATACAATTACATAGAGCTGAAAAAAATATATTTCTCCCAAATAAGCTAGGCAAAACAGAAATTGAGCTCAGAACACTTTAAGGAACATTTTAGACAATGACTAGAATCTACTGAGGCAGGAGCATGCTTTCAAACAAAGAGTCCTGCCCCTGGACTTCAAAATAACTTGAGAATCAGAATGTTGTTTTTTAAAAAAATAATAATAATTAAAAGAAGATTTTATAATAACTTGTTATTAGTAATAATAAAGTAGAAGATTAAAATTGCTTACAAACAGGAAGAAAAAAGATAGCCTATGTGGGCAGATTAGATTCTAAATGGGGCTCATAGATAACAAGGGAGAAGAGCCCCACTGATCTGTATCTATTACATGAGAGAATAACTTCAGCTAAAAAAAATATATAAATAAATAAAAATAAAACAAACAAAACAAAACAAGCAAAATTAAAAAACAAAACAAAATTTACTACTGGGGTAAAAGAAAAAAACATTAAAACACACTTTACATTCCACCAGTTATTCAGAAGACAGGTACTGAAAGTGTTTTAAATCAACCAGTCTAAATAACTTACCACAAAGCATTTAACAGGTCAGCTTATGAGCAGGGAGTATCTCGTAGCTGAGAGGAGAACTCAGCATCAAAGAGGAGCACTCCCTCCCCCTGAAATCCTTAGGGCAAGACTCTGGAGTCCCTTCTGTAGTCAGTGCTTTGATTGGCAATTGATCAATCTGCTCACCCATTCACCCATCTCCCCACACCCCCACAGTTTCACCCTATACTGGCAGAATCCTTTCCTCTTTGAAGGGAGACTGGGTAACCAATCTAAAGCAAGTGCTATCTGTTAACTGGGGAAGCTGGGTGGGAAACATTTTCAGTAAGTCAAGGAACAGCTAAATAATTTCTTATAGTTAAACAATTACATGGATAATAAGGCCATCGTATTGGTTTGACACAGATCTAAGAAAAACTGGAAAAGGACTTAGAAAACTTGATTTACAAAAAAACAAGAGCAGAGTAAGGAGATCCCTTGTCATCAGCAAAGTCACTAAAGGAACGCTACCTCTGCTTCTAATGAAAAAATAGATAACTGAATAGTGGATATATCCACGTGAATAACTGAAGTACTGAGAGAAAAGTAATTTATACTTCTTTTATAATTTTATAATTCTTTGGGCTCAACCTGTTCAGCTGAGCCAGAAGAGTATCAGAAAGTTACTTGCTCAGCTAACCATCTCTTAGGAGGGAAAACAAACAAACAAAAACATTTCTACAGTGAAGAGAAAGGTTCAGAAGGACTCAGGTCCTGGAAAATGAAATTGAACCAATCAGATAAACAAGTTACCAGAATCTTTATCACTCAGTTTAATTAAGAATTAAGCAGTGTAATCCGGGCAGGGTCTAAGGCCTGCCACAGAATAAATCAGACCACATGATCTTAGTGGTCCTGTTTGGTTTTGTAAGCCTGTAGCTTCACTACAACTCTGCTCTCCCTTAAATATTTAACAGCATATTGTTTACCCAGTCTTATTGTAGCAGCTTCTGACTTTTTTCTCAAGAGCTCTTCTAAATCGTCAGTTCAATAGTCACTTCTAAATCTAATATAAACATACAGTGACAAGCCTAACAGCCACATGACAGGTAGTATCCATAAAACAGTTTACAAGAACCCCATAGTTCATACTGATCACTACAAATTTAAAATTATTGATTGCTTGTTCCTTCTCCACTTTACTGGAACAACAGCTACTGTCATTCAGAGTTGTTTCCTTCAATATTAGTTGTATCTAAGTGTTTCCATTATTAACAGACTATTCTCAGTTTTAAAATTCACTCCACCCTCACTTAGAGTATCTAGCATCTGTATGAAATGTGAAATGAGGATCCATCTCTTTGCTTTACACACACCATCACACTGGCTAGTTTTGAAGAGAGTGTAATTTTGCCTGCTTCATTAATTGTATCTGTGTTAGTTTTAAATAGAAATGATACAACAGACCAGATTGACAGATGTGTCTAATTCATTCATCAATATCTCTGACTCTGGAGAATGCATAATTACCTCCAGGCAAGCTATTCCAATATTTCCCTATCACAAACATTGGAAAGGTTTTCCTTATACGTCATTTAAATCTTTTCTCCCATAATTTAAACCTTTGTTTGTTGCCCTTTCCATCCTGATCAATGAAGGCAGCGGACAGAGATGGCTCTAGTAGGCTCTGAATGAGCAATAGCAGGGAGGAGAGCAAGCAGTGAAATTTTTAGTGAGTTATAGAAAGTGTAATGGACAAGTTTCTCTCCTAACAGGACTCCAATCCAAACACAATTGATCTCTGAAACCCACTGAGTCATAGATTCTAGCTACTGTAAAGACTGATTCTCACACTTTATTACCACACTAAGATTTGAGCTATGATGAACTTATGGCACAGGGGCTCAGTTGAAAATCCTCAAAATGGAAATTTATTTTCTTCCTTTTCAGCCCATCTGGGCTCACGTGATTTTGTTCTAAACTGTGTGGCATACGGGTTATATAATTACAAGGGTTTTGACAGACCAGTGGAGATGCAGAAAATGAAAATAAACTCAGTGTAGTTTGCGAGAGTTTCTGTGTGCTGAGTTATCCGCCACTTATATAAACACATAGAGAGTTCAAAATGATTTGATTTATATATAACAGTAATAAATACAGGATCTGTGAATCAGGGATTTTAAATATATTTAAACCAAGTCATGGTAGACACCGTGTATTCCTGCATGAAAAATCTGTGTAGATTAACTGGGTGCCTCGCTTGTCACTTTGAACTGTGCTCAGGAAACCTCAGGCAGCCTGTAAGCAGGGTTGATGCAGGGTTGAATCTCCTGTAAGCAGGGAGGTTCAGGCTGGATGTCAGGAAGAGGTTCTTCGCCAAGAGGATTGTCAAACACTGGAACAGGCTTCCCAGGGATATAGTCACGGCACCAAGCCTGTTGGAGTTTAAGAAGTGTTTGGACTGTGCACTTAGTCGTATGGTCTGAAGTCTGATTTTTGGGTAGGCCTGTGTGGAGACAGGAGTTGGACTCGATGATATTTGTGGGTCGCTTCCAACTCAGGATATGCTGTGATTCTATGATTCTTTATTTAATCAAGGAACAGGTAATATAGACACAAGAAAAGTATTGCTCAAAGTTAGTACAGCCAATTTGCTGCAGATATAGAACATATCTCAGCTACCCAACAAACTGCTTTCCTTTTCCAAAGAGGGAACTCTGAAACAATTTTCATTGTAGCACATTTTAATTGTTGAAAATATAAGAAAATCATTTGATACAATCAAGGAGATGATGGAAAGGTATATTTTAGTAAGATGCTTTCAAAACAGGGCTCAGTGCTGGGGCCGGTCCTCTTTAATATCTTCATCAATGATCTGGACGAGGGCATTGAGTGCACCCTCAGTAAGTTTGCAGATGACACCAAGCTAGGTGTGTGTGTCGATCTGCTCGAGGGTAGGAAAGCTCTGCAGGAGGATCTGGATAGGCTGCACCGATGGGCTGAGGTCAACTGCATGAAGTTCAACAAGGCCAAGTGCCGGGTCCTGCACCTGGAGCGCAATAACCCCAAGCAGAGCTACAGGCTGGGAGAGGAATGGTTGGAGAGCTGCCAGGCAGAGAAGGACCTGGGAGTGATGGTGGACAGTCGGCTGAATATGAGCCAGCAGTGTGCTCAGGTGGCCAAGAAGGCCAACGGCATCCTGGCTTGTATCAGAAACACTGTGACCAGCAGGGCTAGGGAGGTGATCGCCCCCCTGTACTCGGCTCTGGTGAGGCCGCACCTCGAGTACTGTGTTCAGTTTTGGGCCCCTCGCTACAAGAAGGACATCGAGGTGCTTGAGCAGGTCCAAAGAAGGGCGACGAAGCTGGTGAGGGGCCTGGAGAACAAGTCCTACGAGGAGCGGCTGAGGGAGCTGGGCTTGTTCAGCCTGGAGAAGAGGAGGCTCAGGGGCGACCTTATTGCTCTGTATAAGTACATTAAAGGAGGCTGTAGAGAGGTGGGGGTTGGCCTGTTCTCCCACGTGCCTGGTGACAGGAGAAGGGGGAATGGGCTTAAGTTGCGCCAGGGGAGTTTTAGGTTGGATCTTAGGAAGAACTTCTTTACTGAAAGGGTTGTTAGACACTGGAACAGGCTGCCCAGGGAGGTGGTGGAGTCACCATCCCTGGAAGTCTTTAAAAGACGTTTAGATGTAGAGCTTAGGGATATGGTTTAGTGGGGACTGTTAGTGTTAGGTTAGAGGTTGGACTCGATGATCTTGAGGTCTCTTCCAACCTAGAAATTCTGTGATTCTGTGAAAACCGTGAAGTTAGAGAATGTAATAATAGTGTATTAGTGCTGTGGGTAACCCCGGCTGGCTGATAAGTGCCCAGCAAGCTGCTCTTTCACTTCCTCTCCTCAGCAGCACAGCAGGAGAAAGTACAGCGAAAAATCTCATGGGTTGATAAGGACAGGGAGGCCACTCACCAATTACAATCACAAGAAAAAGCAGACTTGTCTTGGGGAAGATTTAATTTATTGTCAATTAAAAATAGAGTGTTATAGTGAGAAACAAACAACAAAAACAACCAACAATTTCCCCCTACCCCCTTCTTCCCAGGTGTAGCTTCACTCCCAGTTCATAGAATCACAGAATGGTTGGGGTTGGAAGGGTCCTGAACAAGCAAGTGCTCCAACACGGGTCACCCACAGGTGGCAGTTCCCCCCAAAATCCACCTGCTCCACCAGGGGCCTCTCCACAGGCTTCAGGGGAACTGCTGCTGCATGCCCGGAGCACCTCCTGCCCTCCTGCTGCTCTGACCTTGGGAGCTGCAGGGCTGCTTCTCTCATGTTTTCCTCACGCTGCATCACACTGTCGTTGTCATGATGTGATCAATACATCCAGTTCTTTCCTATTATTTGAAATCCAAAATTGTTAAGTTTGGAATTTTTATTTTTTTTTTTGCACTCAAACTTAAGTGTTTAAACTTGGCCTGTGCATGGAGATATATTCAATTTCTACTCCATTTCTCAGGAATATCGAGCTGGGGATGATGAGAACAGGGTAGGGAAACAATAAAAGAGTACAAAAAGGACAAAAAAATGCATGAAAGGCATTTGTCTAAGGTTTGTCCGTGTCAAAAACAACAGGACATAGGGCATAGCTAAAAATGAAAAGAAACAAAAGGTAGAACCAGAAAACAGAAAGTAGAAATAAAAGGAGTAGGGGAGCAAGAAAGATAGAATGAGTTCAATAACTTCGGGAAGATGCTTAAGTTAAAATCACCCTGAAATTTAACAAACGGCTTCAAATGCTTGTCTTTGTACACTTGTCTCTGTACAACATGCAGAATTTGTTTTAATAAACTCATTGTGGTTATGGTACAGAAAAACTAGAGAGCAGACAGTGCCTGGTGCTTGGCCTCTGTACCTGGGAATGAAAACAAACAAACAAAAAACTCAGGGAAAAGAGTCTGGAAGGAAGAACAAAAGTAAGAGAATGAACTGAAAGAAGCTCTCCAATGCTCTTTGCCAGTCTGACTTGACTCAATAGAATTTCATAGACTTTCTTCAATTTAAAGAAGAAGCAGAAATTTGGATGTATCACATTGGCAACCTATGCAAATTTTAATCCTAGAAATTCACATATTTTTTCTGGTTAAAAACAATTTAAGAATTACACTGTTTGCTGCAGATGAACAAGGATTTACTTAAACCTATTTTATAACAGGGGAAAACTGGGTTCTTGCTGCCAGCTGGCCACAGCAGGGAGTGGATTGGTGTCCTGCATCGCAGGGGCATCAGGGAGACACACTCATCTGGCAGCAGCCTGGGCAGATGAATGAAATTCCCAAGCTGCAGACACGTAACCACTGAGCTTCACCTGCAGTTCTGCCTCCAGAGTAACTTCTGGAAAGCCAAAGGGAAAATAAGTAGGCTGGAGAAGAAACAGAGCCGATACCAGTAATTAGAGGTATTAGAGGAGAATTATAAAAATAGTCTCAGGGTATATCTTGAAAATACCCTAAACAGAAAAAATAAAAATAAACATAAAAATAAACATAAAAATAAACATAAAAATAAACATAAAAATAAACATAAAAATAAAATAGGGATTTCTGATTATGGTCAGTAGCAGACAGGTGATAAACAGGACATTTTCCACAGAAAAAAAAAGTTTTTCACACCAACCTTGCACTTATGGCCAGAGGGAGAGGATGGACATACTCACAAGGATATATAATCAATAATCATCATTTGCAAAAGTACTTTTATGGACTCGCTATCCACACAATCTGCATGTATCCACAGATGATTATTGATAGTGATGGTGCCCATCCACACAGCCAGCAATGACACAGCCAAGGGAGGCCTTGGGCCCATTGAGAGCCACTCAGGTTCTCAGTGGAGCAGGGATATATAAAAATCTGAGGTACTCAATGTCTTCCTCAGCTTTCAAAGGTCAGGTCTGCTTTTGGCCTCCCAGGTGCCTGAGCCGAGAGGCAGAGCCTGCAGGAACACAGCACTACATACTGCAAGCAAAGATGCAGTCAGAGGGCACTTAAATTAAGTGGATGTAGAAAAGTCCATGAGACCAGGCAGGGTGCATCCTAGGACACTGAAGGTACAAGTCAAAGCCTCTGCCTCTGTTCGCTATCATCTTTAAAAGGTTGTGGCAACAGAGGGAGGGTCTTCAAAACTTGTCAAAGGTATGTTAATACAATTGATCAACAGGATAGCAAACTGTTGCTGAGACTCATTTCCTTGCTTTTCTTCTACATGCAGGTTTTGACTGATCTTGGTTTTTTGACAATGGGATTTTTTCTCCCCAGGATGGAAAAAAAGAACCTCTTCCTAAGCCTATTGCTCTGCTACAATTTGCTCAGAGCTACCAATTCTCACATGGTAATCGAGGAGAAGACAGAACGCAACCTGTCAAGGAACAGCAAAATGAACCTGTCAGATCTCCCACCCATCTCCATAGTAGGTTAGTAAAATCTGCCATTCGATGCCAAATGAACAGCACTTCCAGAAAGTACAGCTGTTGATTAATATGTGCTATTTTGATGGCTTACTACAACATTGTAATTTCATACAATGCCTTAGTACTATACAGAAGTGCAGTAGCAGTGCAGGCGCAGTACCCAAGAATGGCAATGTGGCAAACCACAATTAAGTGTCAGAAAAAGAAAAAATGTAAGAAGAATGAAAATATCTGCCCTTTGCATTCATCCTTCTCCTATATGCCTATAAACAGAATAAACATTTGACATCCAAAATGCAAGAATAATTCCAAAGAGTTATAATATGCAAAATAATATAATATGCTCAGCTAAAACCGAACATATCTTGGCATAATGCTCTCCTTTTCTGTAGACTGCTTTTTTGGTTCTTGGTATCTTTATTCCCAAAAGGAAAGTACAGATGCAAAACTCCCTGTACTGAAACTCTTTTACTCTCTGTACACAACTCTTGACCATGTCTGTGCTCACTTTCCTGTGGCAAGAGGCATCTCCACAGGTATCGCAAGGCCTTTCTACAGCCCAGTTGTTCAAAGGTGAGAGGCCAGCCTGATCCTCCGCTGCCTCATTATCTACACTTGGAGCAGTACAAAGTCAGTAAGAAGGCTGAGAGAAATCACTACAATTTTTCTCACTCGGTAGAATTGACATACCTTTTAAAACAGTTTACTTTGGAGCTGAAATGGCACATGCTCAAAACCTTTCCAGGTTTTATTTTAGACAATTGGAAGGCACAATACTTTTATCATTTACTAGCTAAAAATAAATAAATAAATAAATTATAACTTGCAAAGCTAAATATAACAGTCCAAATTGTGCATTAATGGATGACCTAGGAAGACAGTCTCTAGCCATGATCTTTCAGATCTGACATTGTTTTGCTCTAGCAGCTGAAGCAGCACACTTGGGTTACTGGACCAAGGTGATCTTCCAGCCCTGCCGTGAGCAGGAGGATGCCAGCAAGTCTCATCATTCTCACTGAAGTGAGCTGGGAATAGCATCACTTGCCTCACCCTAGTGCACTGTGAGGTGTAACTAGAAGCTATCCTTTTCCCCTTATTTTTGCTAGGCTCTGTGCATTACACAGCAGCTAGATGAAGAAATGGAGCTGTTCTTAAACGAGCGTACACAGAGCTTGAGAGGAAAGCATTGCTAGAGGGAAAGAGCAATGATTTGGAGCCAGTCCTGCCCAGAACAATGGGAGAAACAAATGCAAATGGGGAAAGCATTTGGGAAAAGCAGCCAGATATAGGAAGTGGGCACAGAGATGGGTGCAACCAGCAGCGCAGTCCTACAGCAAGCTGCTGCTGCTTCCACTGCTCAGGGGTGAGGATGATGCTGCATGTGGTGGTATCATTATAACTACAGTGCCATGGTAAAAGGCAGATGGTATGGTCTTTCCCATCACCACCACAGAAACAATTAATTCAGAATTGATAGTAAATGTTCAAATAACCAAAGCCTACTCTCCACTCGTAATACATCTAAGGACATGATTTATCAGTTAGAATGTGTCGTGGTGATCCACATAATCTACTACATGCAAACAGAGACATTTCTCATCATCTTTGTTTACATATTTACAAATTTTATCGCTTTAATCGCTTTTTTATCGCTTTTTAAATAGTAATTATAACAATATTCAAGTAATAAACCTCACTTGCAATCAAGATTACACACCTGCCAATAAATCACAGTGGTCATGGTATCAAATGATGTTATGAGTGGCTCTAATTCAATAAGACCTGAGATTGGAATTGAATCATGTTTTAAAACATAAGCAGAGGAATTCCTAGCATCAACTAGAACATGATGCAATCATCTAATTAATGCAGGGTTTTTATAACACTTCAAATTGCAGTTGTATCAACAGAAGTTAGAGGTGTGTATTATTAATATTTGCACAAGCCTGTATTACATTTCCTTGTATTTTCATAGATGAGATTTGTAATGAGCTGGTTAATTAGGCAGTAGTTGAAAACATGGTAAATAGAATATGAGCAATATGAAATTACTGGCAGGTGTTTTACCTAATGCAGAGGAACTAAGGAAGAGATGACTACAGTACAAATCCTTCCAAAAAAGCATTTCCTTGTTTCCCTCTCAGCTGCCAACTGGGTATCATTTTCTTTGCCAAATTGCCTGGAACAACTAACACACGTTTTTGTCACAGCAATGTATAAATCTCAGTTAATGACATCGTACAACATTTAAATGAACAAAATGAAAACAATTCTGTAAGTAAAACATTACAATGCAATTGCAGTTGTAATGTAGAAAATTAAATGAATGTAGAATTAAATGACTTAGAAGCAACTCAGTTACCAAAGGGTAACCCAGTTTCAAAGGGCAGTATAACAAAACCAACATAATGTGCCAGCTGGAACTGATCTAAGCCCCTAATACCACTTGGTATGATGCCTGCTTAAGCCATGCTCTTACTGAGTGGCCTGAAATTCTTTATGCCTGAAATACAGTTGTTCCTCCCATTGTCTCTTAGAGACAGATGTGTAACTCTATAATAATGCAAGGATAGTAAATGAAACTGCCAAGCAGTGAATTCTTAATTGTGTAATTCTGCAAATTCTGGCAATTATTAAGTGTTCGTATAAATCTCTATAGCAAGTTCTGGAATAGACAAGAAGCCACTATCCATCAGTGGGCATATGTAAATCTTTTTATGCCAGTAATTAATTACATGGAGCTTGTGCTTATTACAAACCTCACACACAGATAACCAAGATTTTGAAAATATCATGATAGATTAGTGAGACAGGAAGTGCCTCACACTTTAGCAGAAAAGTCTTGCTGTGTTAGATAACAAGATAAGTCTTAGTCATTAAGTTAATATACACTAATAAATAATTTTAGAGCTGATATAGTAATAATGCTAATATTCCTCAAATGATAGTATGGGAAATTTCATAATACTGGTGTTTTCATCTAAAAATAAAACCAAAAATTTTACATCAGGCAGTCTGAAATTTTCTTCCCCCCTCCAAAAAAAAAAAAAAAAAAGTACCAAATCAAAAAATCAGCTACCAGAGTTGAGAACCCAGAGCATATTTTTTAATTCCTGACAAATTTATGTAGGTAACACCACCTCTTACAGAAAAAATTTTGGAATTCTGAAGGTTTTTCCCATTTTTGTTCACATGACTGATGTGCATTAACACCCTATTTTTTTTACAGAGGACCCTTGAATTTTATTTATCTGAAACTATTGTTCACATTGGTCCAAATATCTAAAAAACACATTGGGCAACTGTGGGGAAAAAAAAAAAAAAAAAAAACCTCCTAAAATACAAATGTAGTAAAAGTCTTCTGTTTTACATGAGCAACAGCGACAGCACAAGTTCAGATGCTACTTTCAAGTGAGGACAGTTCCTAGAACTTCATTACTGCAAAACATTCAGCTGTGGAAGACTGCAGTGGTGTGGTAGCAATGCAGGTTATCTGCCTTCTGTTGCACAAAAATAGTATCAAGCATCTGTATTAAATTATATTTGCTGTAAGGCTGATTTAATAATGCATGTTGATATTTTCTTTGAAGATTTAACTAAAAGGTCCCAGAGAGTCAGCAGGAAAGAGGCAGAGAACAAGAAATCTTCCAAGTGGCTGTTCAGAAAATATCAACAAATTGGAATGGTTTGCTACTTCTATCATTTTCCTCAGTGCATTCATTTGAAAAGCTTTTACAGTCATTCCCTGATTTAAATAATTTGTATACAGTTTGAAGCTTAATACAGTAGAAACAGATGAAGAACATGAATGATGGAAGGAAAAGTATGATCGTAGATTTGTTACAGGTTATTGGTTTTTGTTGTTGTTTTTTAATTGGTTTTGGTTTGTTTTATTTTACAGTCCTCTTATAAAAAAGGTAACTTAGCCTTGAGTTGCTTTACATATTTAAAACACTGTTTAGATATCTCCCAAAAAAGATACCATTCCCAGTCTTGCCATGTAGGTTAACTGTCCAGGCTCTGAAGCCCAGGGGCATAAACCCACTATCTGCTCATTTTTAACTACGGGTGCTAAAAAATAGAAGTAGAGGCATCCAAAGAATTTGCTATTTGCTTGAAAAATATTACCAAGTAATTTTATCAAATCTGTAGATACAGATTGATAGATTTCTTCTACCTGTAGCCATTAGGTCTTAAATGTGAAATATTACCTGGACTGAACTCCTACATTTTTAAAGACTCTCTAGTAGAGTAGAAAATAGCATTCTTACTTCATTTTTAGTTTGTCACAACAGCCATTTACAGTCACAATAGCCATTTACAGCCAAACCAGTAATAGCTGCAACCAGAAACGTTTAGAGCTCCTTTTCCTTTCTAATTGGTGTCTTGTGTGGTCAGCTTTCCCTGGAACACTTCCTAAATCCAAAGGATGGCTCAGATTGAAAGAAGCCTCAGGAGGTCATGTTTTTCCTCCTTCTCCTCAGAGCAGGACATTCTGGCAATCAAACTTTGTTCAAGTACTTGGTCTTAAAAGTGCCTCAAGCATTTATAGACTGCATAATGTTTTACCTCACAACTGGAACTTCTGGCAAACTTACCAAGTTAAAAAATTGCCTAGAGCAGCTGTAGCTGGAAGGTTCCAGAGATCCTGCCCAGGTCCCAGGCACATGCTGACCAAGCCAAAATTTTCTCCCTCTCCAAATCATGTTGTACCAACACTCTTCAGGCAGGCTAGATCTTTTTCAGCTTACTCAGCTGTGTCTGCAGTTAAGGATTCCCACACACAAATCTAATGCACAATTGATTACCAAGCTCCAAAAGCAGACTGCCAAACTAACCTGGCGAGGTAGAGTATTGCCAAATAACCTCCCCTCTCTCTCAGCCACACAGTTCATAAAACAAAGTGGATCCCATCCCCACAGATGACAGGGAGGTTTCATTCTTCCATTTAAAAATTTTGGAGATCCAAGAGTAACTTGTTACCTATAATAATGTCATCATCTTTGAAGATTTGTGTGTCCCTTTCTTTGGTGATGCCATATTCTTCGCTTCAGAGTATAATCCAAAGCTTTATCCAGTCACATTTATAATTACTTATAATATGGAACTCTTGTGGTTTTACCCAGCTGCCAAACTCCACCACAACCGCTCTCTCACTCCCTGTTATCAGAAGAGAGGAAGAAGAAATTATGCTGGAAAGAAAAAAGGCTTACAGTTTGAGATAACTTAATTAAAGAGAAAAAAAAAAAAAAAAAAAGCTGTATGGAAGCACACAGAAAGTAAAAAAAAAAAAAAAAAATAAATCTCTACTTCCCACCAAGGAGTAATGTTTGGCCACATCCCGGGAAGCAGGGCCTCATTACATGTAGAAGTTGTTTGGGAGGACAGTCATTTTACCAATGAGAGGCTCCCCCCTTCCCCTTCCCCACCTTTTATTGCTGAGCGTGACCCCATATGGTATGGAATATCCCTTTGGTTGGTTTAGGTCAGCTGCCCTGGCGATGTTCCCTTCCCATTTTTTGCCCACCCCCGACCTGCTGGCTCTCGGGGTGTTAGAGAGAGTCCTGATGCTGTGCCAGCACTGCTCAGCAGCAGATACAACACTGGTGTGATACCGGCTACAAGTGCAGAGCACAGCACTGTATGGGCTGCTGCAGGGAAAGTTAACTCCATCCCAGCCAGACCCACACAGTTGTTGCTTGATAGGCTGCAGCAAGAGAGTATTTTCCATGATCCAGTCCCACCACATCAATCCTATATTGCTACCTAACAGAGGTCCCACTGCTAGCAACCACCTACTAACCTCAAGCCACAAGTTCCCATAACTCATTTTGTTTGCATCTACCCTTTATTCTGACTCATACTTGTTTTACCTTTGTATGAATTTTCTCTTTTGTTGTTGTTGTAGAAAAAAGCTGAACTGAAGAAACCTCCAAAACCAAGGCCCACACCTGCAGCTGACTGCGTGCCAAATTTCAAAACCTGCAAACCACACTTGAATTCATGTTGTAACTACTGTGCCTTGTGCAAATGCCGAATATTTCAGACCATCTGCCAATGTCTAACGTTAAACCCAAAGTGCTAAACCAAATCAGGAACACATTACGGCTTCTGTCTTTCATTAGCTTCTCAAGTGTATATGTCAAACTGTCTAATGTGCATAGCAATTTAACTAGAGAGCTTTGAAGCTGGTAGGTTGGATTTGCTCCTCTTCAGTGGACAATGGTAGTTTTCTTCATGTGGAGAATTCTGTCATAAACAAGATGGCTTTTTAGTGAGTAGATAAACAGGGAGATAAATAGGCCTTAAACAAGCATTTTTAGCAAAACTAACCTGCATTTAAGAAGAATTCTGGGTTCTTGGTTTTGTTTGGTTTTAGGGTTATTTGATTGATTAGTGGGATTTTTTGTTTGTTTTTGAAGGGTTCTGTTAACCAAAGAATTCAGTACAGTCTAACCAGCACTGCAAAACCTGCACCAACAGCACACAGTCACACTGAAATAGGGCTGGTTAATCCAGTGAGGGACCAGAGCTTGGGTTTGCCCACAATGACAGCAGAACACCAGCTTCCAACAGAGCCAAAACATAATGCTGAAAATGCAGATTTCAGGGTCAACTCCTTCCTCGCACATTCAGCAAAAATCAGGACTCAAATCTATGTAGGTTACTCTAATTAAAAGGATGTACAAAAAATAATAAGGCATTTTTAATCATCCCCAGCTGAGCATCAGTATCAGTACATCCACCTCCAGAGTTTTTAGTCATTCTACCAGTAACCAGTATGTCCAAGGTGTATAACCTACACATATTCAAACCCTTTATGTACCTGTGACTCATGAGTTAAAAATCAGAATATTTCCCCACTTGCAGCTAAAGGAAAAAAGTCCTTACACCAGTCTCCTGCTTCCAGAGACAAAGTTCATATCACTTCACTTAGAATACAAAAGCAGGGACAAATAACCAGGACTTTGAGGAAGAAAGGAAAGATAAACAAAAAATGTGTTGCCCACATATGTATCTTGAAAACCATTTAAAAGCAATCAATTTCTCTTCTGAGTCCACACATTCATTCCCTTTATGTTCAGCTCCCAGCAGCTACCCCAGGCATGAATTTAGGTGGTAATCTCCACATGCTGCATGCAACCAGCAACCATAGGAGAAAAATTACCTAATGTTACGTCAACCTTTGAGGGTTCAGAAACAGCTTTGAAGGTATGGATGAAGCTCAAGGCGGCAGCAGTAGCAAACAGGTGGCTAGAAACAAGATATCTTCCTCTTGATCTTGAAGCTCTTTGCTTAATCGTGATTTATCCAAGATGACATAATAGGAGAACCCTTCTTGGTTAAACTAGGAGAGAGGTGTAGGTCTTGGAGAGCAAGGAGGAAGCAGACCAGTGTCCAACACTGAAGACTCTTCACAGAATCATAGAATTGTTTGGATCATAGAATTGTTTGGGTTGGAAAGTATCATCAAGGATCATCTAATTCCACCCCCCACCCCCATGTGCAGGGACACCTTCCACCAGCCCAGCCTGCCCACAGCCCCATCCAGCCTGGCCTCAAACACTTCCAAGCATGGGGCATCCACAGCTTCTCTGGGTAACCTGTTTCAGTATCCCACCACTCTCAGAGTAAAGAATTTCTTCCTCACATCTATTCTAAACCTACCTTCTTTTAGCTTAAAGCAATTACCCCTTGTCCTATCTCTACAGTCAATTCTTTATCTACTGGATGGTCCACCCAAATCCGCATCTCTCCAATTCCACTGCCTGTTAATTTCCTTATACCCCTGTTTGACCAGCAAGTCTTTGCTCAGCCACGTCAGTTTCCTGCCTTCCCTGCTTGATTTCTTACACATGGGGATACAGAGAGCTCTTACACTCCAAGAACACTCCTTAAAGAGTTGCCAGCACTGATCAGTTACTCTGCCCCAGTGTCCCAGGAGATTTCATCTACTAATTCTTTAAAAATCTAGAAGTTTACTCTTCAGAGGTTCAGGGTCCTGACTGCTCTTTGCCATGCCCGCATTCCTCGAGATCATGAACTCAACCAGGGTGCAGTTGCTGCAGCCCAGGCTGCCTCTGATCTTAACCTCTTTAATGAGTTCATCTGCACTGGTGAGCACCAGGCCCAGTAACACTTCTCCTCTGCTTGGTTTATCTGACACCTGGACCAGGAAGTTATCCTTGATGCACTCCAGGAATCTCCTGGATTGCGTACAGCCCGCTGCGTACCTTCTCCAGCAGATATCCAGATGGTTGAAATCCCCCATCAGGATGAGTGTGCAAGCATGATGCTTCGTGTAGTTGAAGCAAGAAGGCCTCATCAACAGCTTCCTCTTGATCAGGTGGCCTGGAGCAGACCCCAGCCACGAGGTGTCCTTTATTGATCCACTCCTTAATTTCCACCTACATGCTGTCAACCAGTTTCTCAGAGGCAACCCTTTGCCATTGTCCTGGTTTCAGTTAGGACAGAGTTAATTTTCTTCCTAGTAGCTGGTAGAATGCTATGTTTTGGCTTAGGATGTGAAGAGTGCTGATAACACCCTGATGGTTTTAATTGTTGCAGAGCAGTGCTTACACCAAGCCAAGGACGTCTCAGCTTCTTGCTCTGTCCTGCCAACGGGCAGGCTGGGGGTGCAGTAAGAGCTGGGAGGGGACAGACCCAGGAGAGGTGACCCAAACTAGCCACAGGGGTATTCCATACCATCTGGGGTCACGCTAAACAATATATAGGGGTGGCTAGCCAGGGGAGGGGAGCTGGACTGCTCGGGGTTAGGCTGGGCATCGGTCAGTGGGTGGTGAGCAATTGCATTGTGCATCACTTGTTTGTATACATGATTAGTAGTAGTACTATTATCATTATCATTGTTATTATTATTATTATTGTTACTATTTTCCTGTCTTAATAAACTGTCTTTATCTCAACTCACAGGCTTCACTTTCCTGTTTCTCTCCCCCATCCCAGAGAGAGAGGTGGGAGGGTGAGCGAACAGCTCTGTGGTGTTTAGCTGCCAGCCGGGTTAACCCGCTACAGCAACCTATCCATTTCTTAACACAAAGAGCAACACCCCTACCCCTCCTTCCCTGCCTCTCTTCTGAAAAGCTTGTAGCCGTCTACTGTAGCGTGTCCAGTTGCATGATTTGTCTCATTTCCATGATAGCAATTAGGTCACAGCTTTCTAATTTTATTGTGGTTTCCAACTCTTCCTCCTCATTTCCTGTGCTGCCTGCATCGGTGTAAAGGCACTTCAGCTGGGCTATCAGCCACATGAACTTTTTAGAGGAGCCCTCCCTAATTCCTTTGGGACAATTCACAGGTATTTCCCTGCTGCTTCCTAAAATGACAGTGTTCTCTGGCAGCCAGCTTGCTGCCCCACTTGGTGAGTTGTGTCCCAACTGGTGTCAGCATGCCCCATCTCCTGAAGGTGTATCTGAGATCCTGCTGTTTCTCACATCTGCCAGACTCCAGTTCTCTTGCTTTAAAATTCTCTGTTGTTCTTCCTCCCCCACTCCTATACACTCCTTTTTCATCCTGTGAGCCTTACTTGACTTTAGTCTTTTCCCTTCCTGCCACGTAATAGCCAGTCACCCCCAGGGCTAAACTCAAATCTTTTGTGTTCACTGCTTGCCTGCAAGAGGACTGCAGCAAGGTTCCTGTCAACACACTTTTGCTTTCCCAGGAAGATATTTCTTAATGATTTATTCCTAACCCCAAACCTGAATTTTCTAATGCTCTGTGCAGGTCTTATTTGGAGGAAAATTCTCTACTGATTTATTTCTAAGTATAGCTAGGGGTACAAAATCTTTCAGGAAGGAAAAGAAAATACAGGTGACAAATACTCTCTAAAGTGGTTCAAGCCATACATACTTTTTCCTTCTAAAATCAGTCCAAATCCCAGAGCTTTAAATATAGGCCAGGTGTTCACAGAAATGTCTATTCACCTTCTTAGAAAGAGATACAGTAGACAGAGAGATTAATCTAAGAGCCTAAACGATAACAGGATGCCATTGTGTTCCTCATCTTTTATAAAATATATCAGCTGTCATATATGGCACAAGCTTGAATTCTTTTAAATGTACATAACTATTTCTTTTAATCAGATATCTTGGCTCAGGAATCCACAAGCTGTGGTTAAGAGGATAAGAAGGAATACATTATGATGGGCTTAAGAAACAGAATCTGGCCCCTTCTTTTACTAGGGAAGCTGTAAATCCTGACAATTTGTTTCAAAACTTTCATAAGAAAGCATCTTAAGTTGATACTAAAATGATATCAGTAATCACACAATTTCGACCACGGGAAAAATATCCTTGTCTTATCAGAAAATCCAGCCGGTCATAAATATCGTACTTTAGCAGGAAGGAGGGGAGCAGCAGAGAAAAATGGAAGGAGGGAGAGCCAGAAATCAAACAGCTTGTGCTGTCATCTCGACAGCAGCTTCCATGCTTGGCTGTCAGCTAAAGAAACAGAAAGTGCTGAGACCCACAGCGAGGAGCTAGAGACATTGAAGCTGAACAAGCAAAGTCCAAGGCTGTGTGTATCTGCAATGAAAGAAATTATTTTTTCATATGAGAATAAGGTCATTTGTTTTTAAACACATAGGCACATACTTTTAATCTAGCATTTATACATAGTACATTTTGACCGATTCCATTTAGTAATAAGCCTTTATTTTTATTTTAACCATAATTGATTAGAGATTGTGCTTTCTCTGCCATTCATCTATCACACCAAATAATATATATAAGCAAGCATTCTAAAATTGTTGTTAGTCTTAGTGGCTTTACTTATCTAGCTAAAGATCACATTGCATGAGGTATTGCTAGGGTACAGAAATCAGTAAAATGTGTACAACTGCTCTATGCTTCCTGTATTTACTTTGAACAGATATTTATACTTATGAGTTTGTAAGTACAAGAGTGCCCTAAGGGAAATGTCATCAGCACACATACGATAAAACATATGCATGACAAAGATGAAGTGTTTAATTTTTAGTTGTCACATGCCAAAATAAGTCTGAAAACTTACCAGAATTCAAGGTTAGAGACATACCCAGTAATGCTGCAAGACAGAGACATCTCTCTCCTAAAGACTAATAGAAATTTTTCCTCGATTACGGCTTAGTAGCATTAAGGACAAATAAATCATTACTGGCTTTTCCAAATATTGCCTGTCTTGTGGAAATTTAAACAAATACTTTATTTTCCCCATCCAAAATCCCAACCTGATTGCTTATAGTCACACTCAAAGATGAGAAAACCCAACTTTACCCTGGTGGATAAAAAAAAAAAAATGGTAGAATTAACATCTTAATGACTACATCAGCTCCAAACTCCTCAGGAACTCACTTGGGAAACTGAAAGCATGTGGGCGACCACAGGAGGAAAACAAACAACTCCCCGTGTCAGTCTTTAGGATCTTCTCACAAAGAGAGAAACTGTGGAGCCCAAAACGACACAGTATTCAAGGTGAGGCCCCACCAACACCAAACAATACAGGCTGGGGACCAACCTGACAGAGAGCAGCTCTGCAGAAAGGGACCTGGGAGTCCTGGTGGACAGCAGGCTGACCATGAGCTAGCAACGTGCCCTTGTGGCCAAAAAGGCCAGTGTTTCCTGGGGTGCATTCGGAAGAGTGCTGCCAGCAGGTCAAGGGAGGTGATCCTGCCCCTCTGCTCAGCCCAGGTGAGGACACACCTGGAGCATTGTGTCCAGTTCTGGGCTCCCCAGCACAGGAGGGACATGGAGCTCCTGGAACTAGTTCAGAGGAGGGCTATGAAGATGATCAGAGGACTGGAGCACCTGTCATATGAGGACAGGCTGAAAGAGAACTAGGCCTGTTTAGCCTGGAAAATAGAAGACTGAGGGGAAACCTTATTAATGTATATGAATATCTGAGGGGAGGGTGTCAAGAGGATGGAGCTGGTCTCTTTTCAGTTGTGCCCAGCGGCAGGACAAGAGGCAATGGGCACAAACTGAAGCACAGGAGGCTAGGGCTCAATATGAGGGGGCACTTCTGTACTGAGAGGGTGACAGAGCACTGGGACAGGCTGCCCAGAGAGGTTGTGGGGTCTCCTTCACTGGAAATATTCAACCCTCACCTGAATGCCTTCCTGTGCAGGGTGCTCTGGGGGATTCTGCTTGGCAGGGGGGTGGACTGGGTGATCTATAGGGGTCCCTTCCCACCTCAGCCATTCTTCATTATAGAAGGATGTCAAATAACTAAGGAAGGGCTTTCCTTGAATGAATCCATTGACTATGCCTTTATTATAGCTTTGTTCTTTAACTGCCTTTCAATATCCCCCAGGACAACCAACCTTCTCCATTACTTTTCCAAGGACTGAGGTTAGACTAGTAGGTCTGTGGTTTCTCAGGTCTTCTCTCATACCCCTACCCCTATCTATAGGTATAACATTGGCCAGCTTCCAGTGAGCAGGGGCCTCTCCAGACTCCCACAATCTTTACTAAAGTGTTGGCTTAGTAAAGGTTTTAGAAGGGTCCAATTATGATGTCCACTGATTCCTTCAGTACTCCAGGGTGAGCCCCACTGGACCTCAGAAGACCTCATCTTGAAGATTCTTCCACGATTATAAAAGTTCCATGGAGGCGCCAATCTTGGAGACAACCATTGATGACCTGGGCTTGCCTCTTTCTTTCCCTACTTGCAGTTACCTGGAGGATGCTCTCTGTGGGAAGGCCATGGGGGATGCAGCCCCTGCTGACAGTGATGGCATGCCAGCCTTTCTCATGCCAATGGCCCTGCCCAGAGTGCCAGGGACCACCAACCCCCCCCTCACCAGCTTCCCACCTGCAGCAACTGATGCCACCATTACAGGTCCTTGCACTTTGAAGGAACTAAGGGGAGGGATGTGAACATTTGTCCCCTCTACCTTCTCCCACGTCAGTAACAGACTTCCCCCAAAAGGAGCTCTTCAGCAGTGTAAGTGCCCAGTGCCATCTTAGACACGAGGGTACCAGAGGCAGCCACTTAAGGCTGGCAGATGTGATATGGGACCCATAGGAGACTGTCCCCAACTGGAACAGCATCACAAGGCCATAGAGAAACACTAAGCTACCCCAAAGAGCAATTAATCACTCTCAAAGCACCCTTCTTAAATTTGTTATGCCTGCAGATCACTTTCTGAGGTAACAGATTTTATTGGCAGCCTTCTCAGATGACAGCCATATGCTGGCCATCTGAACAAGTCCCTCTCTCACATCTCCCAGAAGAAAAGGTAGGTTTTCAACATTTCTGCAAGATTTCTCAATAAAATGAGAAAAGTATATACAATTGCTGCATGACATACACACATGTATTTCTGTCCAGGAAATCCTCTGAGATGATGAAATCCTGGCCTGAAATACAGGAGCCCTGAAGTGGCTGTAATAGTGTCGTAACACACTTCACACATGGCATTCATTTAATACAGATAAAGGCAGGAAAAGAAAAAAAATATCATAGAATGGTTTGGGTTGGAAGGGATCTTAAAGACCATCTAGTTCCAATCAATCCCCACACCATGGGCAGGGATACCTCCCCCGGCTACGTATCTACCCCAGTGGTCCGGTTCGG